AAATAATAGAGATAATATTTCATCATCTAACATACTGAAATACAAGTCAATATCTAGAATGAATAAACTGGAACTCCTCAACATGTCTCAAATACATAAAGTCTGAAAAAAAGGAAATAAGGCACACAGCCTTTATAACTTCTAGAAATAACTCTCAAAATATCTAAACAAAAGCATACAGTGGAGCTCAAAAATAAAATATAACTATAATAGAATAGCTGATGCTAGAGTGCCTCGCTATCAACCTGCGACTCTCCGGGCTCCTGGCTCGTTACCTGAAAGGGGGAGGGACAACGAACATCAAAGCGCTAGCGAGCAACATCACAACCAACCCTAAGGGAAAAGGGCTCGTTGTATACAGAAAATACAGTTATAACATATATATATATATATAATATATAATATATATATATATATATATATATATATATATTATATATATATATATATATATTATCACAATTCTATCATAGGTAATTACGACGTGAGCATAAGTACATTGAGCGAAATAATCAAACAAGGAAACCCTCATGTATATACCATGTAGCTCAGATTGTAAATACCTATGTATAAGAGGTTTTTAGTATTTAGGAAGTTACAACACGAGCGGTAGGTACGTCGAGAGAAATAATCCAAACAAGGAAACCCTCATGTATATACCTTGTATCTCAAATTGTACATCCCTAAATACCAACCCAAAATATAATACAAGAACATTAATAGAAGAAGGCAAACTCATCCCAAACTAAATTTCGGTGTCGTGTCGCAACTCATATAAGTGTCGTGTCCAGCCTATGCAAGTATAGGTGTTAACTCTCAAGGTCTAAACTAATGTAGTGGATGTCCAACACATGGACTGCATATGTAAACGGTCCAACACATGGACTGAAAGTGATAAGTGTCCAACACATGGACTACACATCATAATTGCCCAACACATGGACTAGATGAGTTATATGAACAGGTGCATATACCCTAATTTCTCACGTGTCTCGATGCGTAAACCTAAACTCGTGTTCGCATGACATCTCACATGTAAAGATACAGATTATACATAAATTTCTAATACCCCTCATTCGAGGCGACTCCTCGTTCATATTTAAGCACGTAGAAACAATAAACAAACATAAATAACTCAAATAGATTTCAAAACTGAAGAAATACAAAAGAAGAAAACTCCTCATTAGTCGACTCATTGGTCGACTCATCAGTCGACTCATAAATCGACCAGACAAAACACAAAACTGAAGCTTTTCCCCATCAGTCGACTCATTGGTCGACTCATAAGTCGACTCATGAGTCGACTCATTGGTCGACTGAGCAGAAAATCTCCAGTTTTCTGCTTTCGATGATTATCTGCAAAAACGTTAACTAAAGTTCTCTTTAATCACGTCCAGCAATATATTTCTGATTTTAACTCATGTGTATCAACTGAAACTAAAGGGATTTACATGTGATCACTTACATTAAAACCTTAATCATATAAACATGTTTAAAAAACGTATTAAAAACAGTAAATCATATTGAATCTCATGTTTAAACAAATTTCCAGATCTGGATCTTAATTTACAAATTCATTTGTGAGCTTTTTATAACTGAAAAATATAGATCTTGCATCTCATAATGTAAAGTATCTATTTTTATGCACAAAAATACGTTTTAGGCTCAAAAATCCGAAGAAAAACTCAAGAAAAGCTATACAAACAGTGGGTGTAGGATTGGGTGAGATGTTACTCGCCTCTGATGTGCTGCAAACTTCTAAATCCGATGAGAGGACGATCCCCCTTCGACAGCACCACAAAATTCCGCTGAAAACTCCTCTGAAACTCCTCCAAAATTACCAAGAACGAATCTAGGGTTTGAGGGGAGAGGGAGGCTAGGGTTTTCTCTGGGGTCTGATGAGTCTTGGGGCTGGTTTCGAGTAGGAGAGTTTTATATGAAAGCGGTTAAACCCGAAACAAACCAAACCAAACCCGCAAAAGAAAAGAAAAACTTAAAATCAGCCCGTCAGTCGACTCATTGGTCGACTTATCAGTCGACTCATTAGTCGACTCATGAGTCAACTCATAAGTCGACTGAGCAGACACTATAACCAGATTCGTGCATGTTTTGTTATTCAGCCAAAACCAATGCACGGAACTCTATGAAACCACACTCATACATATCTAATAACTTGTTACCAAGTATATCCATGACCTCAAGTTATTTACCACAAATAGAATTATTTATTACTAATAATTCACATATACTTCTAACAAAAATACGGGGTTCTACAATGAGTTTAATGAATATCAATTGCCTTGGGTATATTAGTTTAGGTTTATGCTTTGTGTGATTATGCTTTAAGCTCAAATGGTGCACGTACATATTTTCTTGATTTATTAACTATTATACATCCATTTGAGATAATAACGTGTTTTTGGATTATTGACTTAATATAACTGGTTTACATCTTTTATAAAGTCTATTAATCTATTTAAAAGAAGTTTCAAACTTGTTTGAACTCGTTTTGTCAAAATCAAGTTTTACTAAGTTCATGGTTGTGCATGTTTTTGCAAAATAGATGAGTTTTCAAAATTGGGAAATACAATTTTAAAAATTTCTTTGTTTACATGTTTATCTTCATATATACAAACATTTTCCTAATTTTTACTAATTTTGGAGTTGTTTTGTTATTTTCAATTGAATTTACAAAAACAAGTTTTTAGTAGTTTTTTAGAAACTGTAATATCTTTGTTCAAACAATTATTTCTCATAAATGGGAAGTGATATTTAATAAATTCTTTCTCTAACATGTTTATCTACATATTTAGAAACTTCTCTCAAACGTTTACGATTTTTGGATTTGATTTACTATTTTTAATTGATTTTATAGAGCCAGATACGCAGATTTTCAGGTTTGTGCACGTTCTGTGTACAGTGCTGGTGGACCGGAGCACTGTTCACGGTCGACCGAGAATTGTCCAGAGACCAACTCAACTTTTCAGCTTCTCGCGATCGATCGGACTGGTCTCTGTGGTCGACCACCAATGTTACCGTTGCACAGTAACGACTAGTTTCTGGTTTTATTATTTTGTGGGTTTTAGGGGTTTTCTTGGGTTGTTTTCTTCTACCCTATATATACCCCATTGCATTTATCATTCCTACCTAACAAGAAAGTTTTAAAAAGAGTTTTAAGTGTGTTTAATTTTTTTTTAAGTTTGTTTAGTGTGTTTAGAGGTTTGTGACAAAATTTTCACAAGAGGAAGATGAGATCATCTTTAGTGTTTGAGCTTCATTCCATTCTCTCTCTCACTCTTGATCTATAGAGAAGTTTCCCTAAACTCTTACTAGCTTTATATTTATTTGTTAATCATTTTTATTAAATCTAGATTTATATTGAGTTTAGATTTATTTTTGATTATACTCTTTGTTCATACACAACCATTTGAGCTTATTGTATTTGCATACATAGTATAATTTGGGGTTGTGGGATTGTGACCTTGAGAGTGAGATTTCATAGAGTTCTCATCTATTGTAGAGAACAAATCTTGTTATTGTGCCCCTTATTGTGAGATACACTTTGTAATACACTTGTACACCGAGAGGAGTGTGTGGTGAGAGACGGGGTCGTCCTAAGAGGAGTGGCGTCCGTAGTAAAGTCTAGGGAGAGGTTGTAAATCCGAGCACTTGAGGAAGACACGGGGTAGGGACCAACACTTAGAGAGTGTAGAGGGTGATTACAAGAGTATTGATTGTAAAGTTTTCGGTGAGCTAGAATACCGAGTGTGATGTGTAAACGTTTTTGGGTGAGCGTCGAAAACCCGGTGTGATAGTGGATTTCTCCCCGGGAGTGAGGAGCGGAGACGTAGGACGGAAGGTCTGAACTTCGTGATCATATTGCTTGTTTGAGTTTGCATTGGCGTATTTACTTTTGTGTTTATCTTATATCGCCATTGTCTATTACTTTTTTTTGTACATTGCCCTATCACATTTATAGTTTATTTATTTTACCCTTTGTTTATATTGCTCATCCTTGTTAATAATTCATTGCATATCTTATTTGCTAGGATAACTTATTAATAAGTTTTAATTGGCATTAAATCATATTAGATTAGCATAAGACCCTAATCACACATCCCCCCCCCCCCCCTAGGGTTCTTTACTAGTGGCATTAGGGTCTAACATTTTGTAATAGAAATTAGCTTTCCTATTGATTTATTATCGTATTGGATATCCATATCTCCTTTGATATGCATTTTTCTTTAATGAATCCCTTTATTCACATCATTATTTTGAGTAAAAATATCTCATTTTTTTAAGTAGGTCCAAGAACAAATAGAACAGACTGAACCGAACCCAATTGTTCGGTCTCGAATATAGGGTGATTTGATTCAATTTAACTAAAATTTATTAAAATTAATCGAATCGGCTGTTTGATTTGCATGCCCTAACAGTTATATCCACTCCAGTACCCTGGTAACAAGATTTTAAATTTTAACACAAGGATGTCTCTTAAGATTTTATCTTTTCTTCACTATTTTACTATTTTTTTGGTCTTTT